AGTGGGAAACAGGTTTAAGAAAGGAAGAACCAATGCAAGAAAAATTGTGGAATACAAGCAAAAATATGATTATTGCTGAACATAATCCTATGCAGATTTCATGCAAGGCAAATGAGTTAATACAAGCTAAAAATGGAAACCATAATTATAGTACTGATTAAGTCTGGCTAGAAAATGTCTCTATGTTGTAATGATACAGGGAGCCCATACGTCCATTAATGTGCCAAATGACAAATCACAATAAATGAGCTAATATCACATCTTAACATAAAGCATTAAGGCAGCGGGTCTATGGGTCTTTTCCAATTATATGATGTAAAGAACCAATTCAACCCAAAATCTTAGGGTGTTGGGTGAGAGCTTTTTTAATGGTTTATATTATTCTATAACACACATCTTCACGCAAGAGCCCTTTCCGCTTTAAGTGTGGATATTGCACAAGTCCAATTTTTTGGTTTACCTTGTTATTATTTTAATTCCACTCGAAAGTGGGAGCGGTGAGGATCGAACTCGTGACCTTATGGCCACTGAAGCTTTGATACCATGTAAAGAACCAACTCAACCCAAAAGCTTAAGCTAGTGGATGAGACTACATTAATAGTTTTATATATCTTTAACATATGATTCTCACTTGAGTTATTTATAGCCAATGTGAGACTTCCCACTTATACTTGAATTTAATTTCAACACTCTTATGCAATTTCCCACTCATACTTGGTTTTATATATCTCCCCAAATAGTGAAGGTATTTTATCCATGAAAATTGTTCCGGATGCTATTTACTAGGCCCACCAGATGGGCCCAATCTGTCAAAGCCCACATTCTAGATCCTTCTAGAGGGCACCCATGAGAAGCCATAGAGGCTCACCACTGGGGCATTCCCCATCCTGCACTGCTGCCCCTGTACACTGACAATGGGCAGCTTGATGAGACAGCTCATGGGCTGACCAGCTCAAGCCCCCATGAAGAGAGGACTCTCCTCTCTAAATACCCCTCTCACACATGGAGAGGGGATCTTCTTCTTCCCCACTCCTCTCATAGGTTGTCATACACACACACTCGCCCCTTGAGCACATACATGGGAAGCTCCACTAGTGCCTTGGTCTCTACCATGACTACTATGGACACCCCTATATCAACATACTTCACCCTCCATGGGAGACATTTATGTACCACTATGAGTACATTGGCGCCGTCTGTGGGAGGTGCTCGCCCGATCGCGCCCTCAAGTCATACTTGCCGATCTATTAACCGCTAAAGGCAATCGCTATAAGCACTGCGAAGGAATCTGCCCCTTTGCTCAGTGCTGACATCGCCTGATGCAGTGGGTGCAGCGCTGCCATCGTGGCAGCGCCAACCGCGCCTAACACTGCCATCATGGGAACACATCCCAAGGAGGGCTGACCCCCACCTCACCAACCCACACCATTTTCCTTATAAATAGCCCTCATGGGCACAGCAGGAAGATCATCTTTTATGTACTGTATTTATGCCCATTTACTCTTAAGTCATACCCTTACTATTTGTCTACCATTGATATCTGCTTGCTTGTTCTTGGAATAATACCTTCTAGCCTGGTCATTACCTCAGCTAGAGGTACCATCCATATAACAACATTACCCTCAAAGGGTACATAGTGGGCTCATAGAACCAAACGGTACATTAACAACATTAGCCAGATACTCTCGCATTGTTGGCCCCACTGCACTATCCCCCAGTGCCTCAAAGGCTTCATCAAACTCCTCTTCCTTAATTTCTACTTCCGGTTCAGGAAGTACGAGACCAGGGATAGGTTCTGTAAACCCAACCATCGATACAGCAGAAAAAAGGAGTATAAGACAACCAGAAACAAGAATAGAAACGACAAGAGAAGAAGGACTATACCTGAGAATTGCAGAAAAGGAGAGAAAGAAGACCGGCACTATCACACTGAACTGAGGATAGGAAACAAAGGCTTTGAGCAAAAAGCGCAACAGGGTAGGTTTCGCGTAAGGAAGAACCCCAACAAAGGGTCTCCCCCTTTTATACAGAAAGAGGAAGAGAAAGGTCTCGCACAGACACGTGTAAGTCCTCCTCACTTAACCGTACGATGACACAGCCATCGTGCAACGGGCGGTTGAGAAAAGGGGGCAAAGTGGTCACTTCAAAGGACAGGTCACCAGTCGCGTCGCATTAATGCGCCGAACCCTGTGACGCTTGGATGCCTGCAATAAAACAGTAATGATGGGAAAACTCATCATTACGACTCCTCGAAAACTGAAAAGCCTCCTAAAGTGCCAGAAGCGGCAGCCTTTTCACAGGGTGTCACCCACCAATCATCGTCATCAATGACCTTGTTACAACAATCACCAAAAGGAATCGCCCATGCTCAAATATTTCACATCGCCAAACAAGTCGTCGCCAAATCCTACCTGCCTCGGCACCAGCCTATGCTCGTCACCAGGCTGGGGGGGCTCCTGGCGCCACGGCGATAGGGGGCTTTGTAGTAGATTCCCTCTCGAAGGACGCCCAAGTAAAACGCCAGAAATTCCAGAAGAACAAAAACCCAAAATACCCTGGGAGGAGCTAGAGACAAACTGTCACTCTTTCGATATCAATCAAGGTGATCGCCCTAAAGGTAACGCCCAAAGCATTTAACTTGGCACCATCCTACGGTTGCTGTCAAGCTGGGGGGCTCCTGTTCCGGATTCTCCAAGCACTGGAGCGGCCCAGTTACTCAGGCCCAATCCTCAGCCTTCTTCTGAGTCAGCCCTTAGGGCTGACGTGGACCCTCACGATCTCCAAGACTGCAGCACGTCCAAAAGATACACCAAAACGTCCCACTTTGGGACATTAACCGCTAAAGGCAGACGCCATAAGCACTGCAATGGAATCTGCCCCTTTGCTCAGTGCTGACATCGCCTGATGCAGTGGGTGCAGCGCTGCCATCGTGGCAGCGCCAACCGCGCCTAACACTGCCATCATGGGAACACATCCCAAGGAGGGCTGACCCCCACCTCACCAACCCACACCATTTTCCTTATAAATAGCCCTCATGGGCACAGCAGGAAGATCATCTTTTATGTACTGTATTTATGCCCATTTACTCTTAAGTCATACCCTTACTATTTGTCTACCATTGATATCTGCTTGCTTGTTCTTGGAATAATACCTTCTAGCCTGGTCATTACCTCAGCTAGAGGTACCATCCATATAACAACATTACCCTCAAAGGGTACATAGTGGGCTCACAGAACCAAACATACTTGCCGATCGCGCCCTCAAGTCATTCCAGTCGCCAAGGAGGTGCTCGCTCAATAGAGTCCTAAAGCCAATTCTGATCATGGAGTTACACGGACACGCAAACAAGCCAATTGTGCAATGTGCGGGACACCTACACAACCCACGCTCAAAGCGACAGCCAAGCTACCCAGCCAGTCACCAAACCTCCCAGAACAATGTTCTCTCATCGGCAGTCCACCGCCTACCGTCACCGGTCAGCACCCCTGCCGCTTTCTCTTATTCCGATCGCCCAACACAACGGCTGCCCTTGGCCTCACCCTTGTCACCAACCATCATCCTCGAAGCCCCAACCGAACAGCTCCAGATTTGTAGCGCTCACCGATCAGGAAATGGCCACCTGCTTGAGCCGGTGAGGTGACGAGAACCTGACAGCGCAAAAAGTAATCGTCAAAGCCTTTAATTTGGCGTGCTCCTCTTCTCGCCGACCACACACTGGTCTCCCAACCGATTTGTTACCTAGGGCGACTTAATAGTGTTGTGGTCATCGAACGCCACTGACAGTCGGTTTCCATTTCAGAACGCCGTACTGACCGTGTTTTAGATTACAGCACCACTACCGTTCGCCAAACTATCTAGACCATCGCCATGGAACCAGACCTGATCTTCAAGACGCCTGAAGTTCAGCAATCGAAAGCCATCGCCCAAAAGAAAAACCAACCAGAAATCTCCTTCTACTCCACTTGCAGTCATGAGTCGCATCATTTTAGCATATGCTGTCCGTTCAGAACATCCTTGAGTCGCGCTAGTCAGAGAGAGATACATGCTAGCTTCATGCCGACAGGAAGTTGGGCGTTCACTTACCCTCTGGCGTTCACATATCCTTTGGCGTTCTCATACTCACTGGCGTTCATATATCCTTTGGCGTTCACGTGTCTTGCTGGGCGTTCACCACACTCCTGGGCGTTCACGTGTCTTGCTGGGCGTTCACAACACTCTTTGGCGTTCATCTTCAATCAGGAAACTACTTCCAAATCAAAAATCTACCCTCGCCAAGAGCGTAGTTGGTCACTCGCCACCACTCAACACCACCGCCTCGGAATTAGATCTGAACTTCATAATCGACCGCCCATCACTCTCTTCCAGCTGACCATGCATCTCCTTCAATCGGTCGCCCAAAGCCTCCTATGGAACCCACCTCACGCTCGCCCGCTACCACATGCAAGGCTTCCCTGCAATTATTTCCTGGCGGGCTCCACATGCAAGTGCAACAAGCTTATCATCATATCAACAATAGCTACAAGTCTAAAGCAATCAAGCTTAGTGAACCCATCTAATTGATAATCTCGGAGTACGTGCAAAGATATCACATCAGCTCATGGGCTACATCAACGCACAGACTTGTGCCTACAACCACATGAATGTCAAATCTTGAAATCCGTGCAAAGACAAAAGCAATCCTACAAGTGCAATCAAATATCTCGTGGACCTACCACTTCCCCAACGTGGAACGCATACTGATCAAAGTAAATGGAAGCATCAATGTGGAATCAAAGCAAAGATAGTATGGAGGCTATAAAAACCATGACTTTTTAGAAGAATTCACGTAAAGCAAGGTCCAGGCAAATACACATCCGACAGATCCAAATTTTTTATATTCACCGACGGGTCAGTTATTTTGTGAGGAAGCCAGCCCTTCCGTCCTCCTAACAGGAAGGTCAACAATATTCATCAACATACTAAAAGTTGTCCAACCAATACTTGCATGCCAGGCGCCCAATGACATTCACATGCTTAGGTTTTATTTTCAACACCAGGCAACAACATCTCTTCACTAGCATATACATGTTTCTCTCTATCGCATCTTTATAAATTTCATATGAGTTGCTTAAACATAATGAAGGCTGGGATGGTTCTCACCCCCAGTATATAATGAAGACCGGCAGCCCGGGACAAAAACGTATCTCTATATGAAGGCCGGGACGGTTCTCACCCCCGGTAATTAATTATGAAGGCCGGGATGGTTCTCACCCCCGGTAAACAAAGTCCGACATGTGCTACCCCTCGGCAAAAGTCCTAGTTGGTCGGCGTCTGGCCAACGCCCCACCTAGGCACATTTTTATCGTCATTCATACACTACTATACTAGTTGTTGCAGGATTTAAATTGGAGCAACCGGACATCAAAGACCCAAGTCACTGGGAATTATTTACTATACGTTCGTATCGCCGTGCTTTGTTGACAAAGAAAGGAACATACATATTTATCATCTATGAAGAATCCCAGTCTCTTTCTCTTTTGGAACACATTCTCTTCTCGAGAAGCTTTCATCCGCTACATTATTTGTCATCAGCGAGTTTTATTTCTTAAGAAAGGAGCATATATATTTATCGTCAGGATCTTCATCACATCTCTCTTGGAGCAATTATCCTCCTCGGAAGCTTTCATCTACCACATTATTTCATTATTATCAGACGGTCAAGACATCTTTATTTCAGTTATTAAACATGATCATGGAGCAACATATTTGAGCAACCGGACATCAAAGACCCAAGTCACTGGCATTACTTATTATACATTCATATCGCCGAGCTTTGTTCTTAAAGAAAGGAATATACACATTTATCATTTATGAAGACTACCAACCTCTTTCTCTCTTGGAACGCATTATTCTCTCCAGAAGCTTTTATCTACGACATTATTTGTCACCAGCAAGTTTAATTTCTAAAGAAGGGAGTATATTTATTTATCATGAGAATCATCACTCTCTATTTTGGAACACATCATCCTCTTCAGAAGATCTCATCTACTACTTTATTTAACTCACGAAGTTCGGATCTGCAATCCTGTCGACTTTATTTTATTAGATCATCAAGACATTCTTATTCCAGTTGTCAACATCTTCAGGTTATTTGAATCAATATGAGCTCGCCAGCTTATTCTTACAATTAAATTATTACTACTTCAACAACATTTGAAGACCTTCATCGATAACAAGGCGCATCTTTGAAGACAACAAAATTCAACACAATTGCAAGCCACAAATAGAAGACTCTCTTGAAGCACTTAAGCATCGCCAGTCAGACAATTCATACTCGACGACAACAAATAAACAACTCATGAAGGCCGACGTATTATCGATCGGTTACATTATATCCTTCTTAGAACACTACACACTACGGGTATCCGGCCTAAGCTGCCATATATCTTGGCACCTTGACTCCTTCAAGCTACCAAGTTGGGGGGCTCTTGTTCCGGATGTTATTTACTAGGCCCACCAGATGGGCCCAATTTGTCAAAGCCCACATTCTAGATCCTTCTAGAGGGCACCCATGAGAAGCCATAGAGGCTCACCACTGGGACATTCCCCATCCTGCACTGCTGCCCCTGTACACTGACAGTGGGCAGCTTGATGAGACAGTTCATGGGCTGACCAGCTCAAGCCCCCCTGAAGAGAGGACTCTCCTCTCTAAATACCCCTCTCACACATGGAGAGGGGATCTTCTTCTTCCCCACTCCTCTCATATGCTGTCATACACACACAGTCCCCCCTTGAGCACGTACATGGGAAGCTCCACTAGTGCCTTGGTCTCTACCATGACTACTATGGACACCCCTATATCAACATACTTCACCCTCCATGGGAGACATTTATGTACCACTATGAGTACAAAAATCAAGAAAAGTATTAAGTTTTCAGTTTCACACAGAAAAATATAGCCTATCAAGATCTTATGCAATTTATTTTGAAGTTTTGTAATTGAAAAACATAGTACCCCAAATGCAATGTTGTGTCTGAACCTCCTTTCTCATTTCCAGAGTTACTGGCCAAGCTGGGACATGTCGCACTAGTATTTACAAAAGTATTTTTTCTTTCCATATGGTTACATTGAAGATAAGATGGGACCACATGTTCTGTTAGCGGAAACAGGCAACGAAGCTCCAGAATCTATAACATGATGCAGACAGAGAATCATTCAAAGATAAGAAATTCTGAAAAGTCAACATTGCATTAAGAATAACTGAATAATGTTTGCCTGTCTTCGCAAAGTTTCATTCTCCAACATAGCCCTTTGTTCCTGTAAAAAATCAAACCAAAAAAGTTACTACAACTTAAAGATACATCTTCCTTTTCCCTTACTTTTTCAGAGTAATTTGTATATTCCGATGTCATATTTAATCCTCATATTGACGCAAATTTCAAACTTATCCATGAATTGACGAGAATTATAATGCAGTGGGCCACAGAGCCCAAAATTTAATGACAGAAAATTTGGATGACAAATGCAACAGGCAACAGTACTAGAAAGGAAATTGAGAAAAATATAAATGTTAAGGCCTCATTGCCTGGAACCTAAAAAAGCAACTGACCACAGTGCTCAAAAATAAATGACATGGAATTAAAATGCAAACGGCAGCAGCGCAAAAATATAACTGGCAAGAGATTTAAATTTAAAGGCCTCTAAACACTAACATCAAGTTCTTCAGCCTCTAATATGAGGACCATGTTGGACAAATGAATGTGAAAGGTCTAACTTGCTGCTCTGGAGCAGTTCATAAATATCAAATATGAAATTCTATATTTCTTATTAACTTACTGATCTGCATATTTCAGAAAACGATAAACCAAACACTAAGCTATTAAAAAAAAGGATAGCTGATTAACTATGCATAGATCACTGCCATTCAATAATTAAATATACACAATTACACCACATCATCAATCAGTCATGCAACTTACCAATTTTCATTCTTTGGTGTTGCGTCTAAGACCTGTGACTGATTGAGAAATGAACCCAGTAGACCAGTAACGAAATGATTTACCCACACAAAGTCCCATATTGAGAAACTACATGTTATCTTTGCATATAGCAAGACTAGAAAATTACAATTAAGGGATTCCCTTTCAAGGGTTAACAACTGATAGAACCCCAAAAATACAACAGCAACTAACTCTGAATGCAAAGACATTTTGTATTGACAAAAGAAATTGGAGACTAGCTCCTTACAATCCTACTAGCAGAAATACAATAACAGTGCATAACAATGGCAGAAAATGAAACAGAGACACTGACTCTTGTGCTAATCTGATAAGGCCCAAGACATTAAAGTGTATAAAAGAGATTAGAATAGAAAGCATTGGGCCAATGCAAATGTCCTGGCCCATAACTTAAGTGGTGAAAATATTCACCACTCTCCAACGGTCCGTTGAAGGGTAGAGAGCCAGGTCAGTCATGTGGGTCTCTTTTAGCATGGAAGGGTGTCAATGTAAGAGGCATCTGGAATTCTGGAATTGGTTAGTCCTGGGAGAGATTCTGAACCTCTCTAAAGTTCAAAGACTTTTTATCAGTTTTCTTGCAATTTCCATCGCTTTCCTTTTTATCTTTTTTAAGTCACTGTAGCAGAGGGTCAAAACTGTCATTTGGCTCCTTTTCTTCATTTTTCTAAACGCTGAACGTGTACTTTCTTTGAGATACTTGAGACTGAGGTCACTGTTACTCACCTTTTGGAGTAACTTCATCTATTTTCCTTTTTTCTGTGTGGAGTAACATATCAAGTGGGATCAGAGCTCCGATCAAGGAGTTCTGTGGATGGTTTTCACACGCGAGATGGAGCATAGGCTGGAAGTCGTTGAGGAAAGGTTGTGCCGGAACGAAGAGCAGCAAACGGAGATCCTCCGTCGTCTAGAGGCGATGACTCAACATATGACAACTATGGCTGATTGGAGCAGGTCGAGAGGAAGGAGATTGCGACATGCAAGCCGCGGATCTGAAGAGACTGGTGGACGAAATGAGATACCCACACCCACGGGAGGACGCTTGAATCGATTGGAAGGGATCAGACGTCTAACGCTGCCAGTATTTGCTGGCGGGGAAGCATATAAATGGATCTGCAAGGTAGAACGTTATTTCGTTGTCAATGGTGTACTCGAAGAGGAAAAGTTATCGGCGATCCTTGTGGCTTTGGAAGGAGAAGCTCTAAGCTGGTACCAATGGTGGGAGATTGAGTCCCCCAAAGCCACTTGGAACCAATTTCGTAGAGAATTAGCTGAAAAAAGAGATATTCTTATTGATAAAATTGTATATCACATCTGTACAATTGTTCTCTATTTAAAGAGACTAAATAACCTAATGGGCTAAGCCCAAAGAAGATTCTAGAATGAAAATAAATAAACAAATACTATTATTTACAACACTCCCCCTCAAGCTGAGGAATAGATATTTATCATTCCCAGCTTGCTAGTAAGCTCTTGAAACCTTTCTCAGGGAAGTTCTTTTTTAGAATATTAGCTAATTGACGTCCAGAAGGGATGTATGGAGTGATGATCAACCCACTATCAAGCTTCTCTTTGATAAAATGGCGGTCGACCTCAATGTGCTTAGTTCCATCATGTTGAACTGGATTATGAGCTATACAAATGGCGGACTTATTATCACAAAACAACTTCATAGGTCCTTCACATCTTATTTTAAGATCACCAAGTATAATTCTCATCCACAATAATTCACAAACGCCTTGAGCCATAGCTCGAAATTCAGCCTCAGCACTCGATCTAGCAACCACGTCCTGCTTCTTACTCCTCCATGTCACTAGGTTACCACAAAGAAACATACAATAACCAGTGGTAGATCGACGATCAGTTACGGATCCAGCATAATCAGGATCGGTATAAACTTCTAAAGAGAGATTGCCATTATGCCGGAACAACAGTCCTTTACCAGGAGTGCCTTTAAGATATTGAAGAATTCTCTCCATTGCCTGCATGCGTTTTTCTTTTGGATTATGCATGAACTGACTTACAATACTGACAGCATAAGCAATATCTGGTCTAGTATGAGCCAAATATATCAGTCTCCCAACTAACCGTTGATATTGTCCTTTATCAACTGGAGGACTCTCCTCTTCATAACCTATCTTGTGATTCTGCTCAATAGGAGTACTAGAGGGTTTACACCCAAGTTTTCCCGCTTCTTTAAGAAGATCAAGGACATATTTTCTCTGGCTGATAAAAATTCCTTCCTTTGAATGAGCTACCTCTATCCCTAGGAAATATTTCAATCTCCCAAGATCTTTAATTTCAAACTCAGAGGCTAGCCGTGCTTGTAGAAAATGTTTCTCAGCAATATCATCACCTATTATAATAATATCATCAACATATACAAGGAGTACAGTTAGCTTCCCATTTTGGGAGTGCATGAAGAATAATGTGTGATCTCCTTGACTCTGTTTATATCCTAAGGCCAGCATAACCTTAGTAAATCTCCCAAACCAGGCACGAGGAGACTGTTTCAATCCATACAAGGCCTTTTTTAACCTGCAAACTTTATTTCCTCCATCCATAGAGCCAAAGCCAGGTGGGATTTCCATGTAGACTTCTTCTTCTAACTCACCATTAAGGAAAGCATTCTTCACATCAAATTGATTCATATCCCAGTTGTAATGGGCAGCAAAGGACAACACAACTCTCACAGTATTCATCTTTGCAACTGGGGAAAAAGTTTCTTCATAATCAATGCCATAGGTCTGAGTGTAACCCTTGGCAACTAACCGAGCCTTATATCTCTCAAGAGTACCATCGGAATTATATTTCAAGGCATAAACTCATCTGCACCCTACTGCTTTCTTTCTATCAGGTCTATCAACAACCTCTCATGTTTTATTTTTCTTTAAAGCATTCATCTCATCTTGCATGGCTCGAGCCCAATTCTCATCTTTTAATGCTTCATGTACTGATTTTGGAATTGAGATAGAATCTAGTGCTGATATAAAGCTTTTAAACTGCACAGAAAGGTTAGTAGACGAGACAAAATGAGAGATAGAGTGTTGGGTACAAGATCTTTTCCCTTTTCTTAGGGCAATATGTAAGTCATCAGAGATACTGGGTAAGCTATCAGAAGCAACAGGCAAATCATTAGATGCAGCAATATTAGGTTCAGAAACAGGAGAAGTAATAATATTAGAATTAGAAACAAGAGATTCAGGACTTACCAGTGGTTCAGACGATTGAGGTTGCTGGTGAAGTAATGTGGGCTGCTTTCTCCTGTGATACACCAATTCAGATGTCACAACCCTCCGTATTTTCGGTGTATCAGATGGGTTAGACACAAAAGAATCAGAAACAGGAGGAAGAGGTGTAGGAGAAGGCATGGAAGGTCCAGACTCAGAGATAGAAGGTGATGAATCTACTGAAGAACTGCTTTTCCCCTGAAGATGAGGACTTGGGAAAAAGGACTCAGATTCATGAAATGTGACATCCATTGAGACAAAGAATTTCCGACTAGCAGGATGATAACACTTGTAGCCTTTCTTATCAGAGGCATAACCAAGGAAGATACATTTGAGAGCCCTAGGATCTAACTTACTGCGAAGATGTTTATGAACGTGGACAAAGACAACACACCCAAACACTCGTGGCTGAAGACTCTGCATAGAGGGAACAGAGGGAAAGAATGAAGTCATTGAGTGAATAAGACTAACATTGTCAAGGAACCGAGAGGGCAAGCGGTTGATTAAGAAAGCTGCAGTAAGAATGGCATCTCCCCAGTAGCATTTGGGTACATGATTCTGAAAAAGTAAGGCACGAGCAACTTCAAGAAGATGACGATTCTTTCTCTCAGAAACTCCATTTTGTTGAGGGGTGTCCACACAAGTAAATTCATAAATCATGCTCTGATATTGGATGAATTTGGAAAGACACTGATTGACATATTCGGTACTATTGTTAGACCTTAGTCTTTTAATTCTTTTTCCAAATTGGGTCTCAATCATTTTATAAAATCGGAAGAATAACTGTGGTACCTCAATTTTTTCATGCATTAAATAAACCCAGGTTACACAAGTGCAATCATCAATGAAAGAAACAAATCATTTGTTACCAGAAGCATGAGGAACTTTAGAAGGACCCCAAACATCAGAATGAACAAGATCAAAAGGCTCAACACTTTTAATGGTACTAGAAGGAAAAGAGACACGATGGTGTTTAGCAAACTCACAAACATCACAATGAAAACACTCAACAGACTTAGACAAAAATAATGATGGAAATAAAGACTTAAGCAAACGAAATGGAGGATGCCCC